AAGATATTTTCTTCTTCTTTTTGGGTAGGAGTCGATATTGACGTGTGTGTTGGCGGGTGTATAGAATGAGTGAGAGAGAGAGAGAGAGAGAGAGAGATGAGATAAACTTATGAGAGATGAGCCTATATATATATAGAGCTAGAGAGAGAGAGAGATATTAGAGTTTTAAAGGATAAACTAATAAAATTTGAACCATTGACCTCAAGTAGGTAAAACCTTTAAAAGATAAAGGGTACCATTGAACCAAAGGGCCGTTGGTAACCAAATCATTATTCACATGCCTCCGGAAACTAAAATTCTCTTTAATCTTTATGCTAGCCAAACTAAGTAAAAAAAACTTACAATTTTTCTAAGATTCATACAATACTTGATTAAGAAATTAAGAAANATAATAAGTATAGATGATGTGAGATATATTTTATTTATCTTTTATTTGTATATTTTTTACCCTACAAATAAGGTTGAGTCTCGTGTAATTATTCGTGTTCAATAATACATTAGATGTAGTTGAGTGTTAGGTCTGTAGATATAGACACAATATGTCAAAACATGCATATCTTTTCTTTTCCTTTTCCTCTCTCAATATCTCTCATATTGTGAATTTCTTCATATGATATGATTAGAATCAAGAGACCATCGATATCTAAGTTTTTTTATATAAATAGTAGAAATAACTCGTGCCTTAAAGTACTAAATAACACAAAAAATCTTAAGCATTGGTCATGAAATATAAATATTTTCAAAAAATACTTTATTTTTTATTATTTTCTTTCGTTATACAATTCGAAATCAATTTAAAAATATTATTTTCTAAATTTTTTTGACAAAACTACTCTAATAATACGATTCCTAAAAAATATCAACATGTATTCAATTTATATATTTAATCATTATACCAAAAAGATATTTTCTTCTTCTTTTTGGGTAGGAGTCGATATTGACGTGTGTGTTGGCGGGTGTATAGAATGAGTGAGAGAGAGAGAGAGAGAGAGAGAGATGAGATAAACTTATGAGAGATGAGAGTATATATATATAGAGCTAGAGAGAGAGAGAGATATTAGAGTTTTAAAGGATAAACTAATAAAATTTGAACCATTGATCTCAAGTAGGTAAAACCTTTAAAAGATAAAGGGTACCATTGAACCAAAGAGCCGTTGGTAACCAAATCATTATTCACATGCCTCCGGAAACTAAAATTCTCTTTAATCTTTATGCTAGCCAAACTAAGTAAAAAAAACTTACAATTTTTCTAAGATTCATACAATACTTGATTAAGAAATTAAGAAAAAAATTAGATATTTTTTCCCTTACAAAATTTAATTGGATTAACGGTGTCAAAAACAAACTATTCATTTTGACACTTACATAACCCGTTTATATTCGTTTAAATTGATCGTATTATTTTAGGATCTGAATGAAGAACCACTCTCTCCTATTCCACAAATTTTATGTGGACTCCATAGGTTGCCAAAAATATCGCTATCGCAATACAGTAGGAGGGACCAAGATAATTAATAGGATATGAATGAAGAACCACTCTCTCCTATTCCACAAATTTTATGTGGACTCCATAGGTTGCCAAAAATATCGCTATCGCAATACAGTAGGAGGGACCAAGATAATTAATAGGATATGAATGATGAACCACTCTCTCCTATACCACAAATTTTATGTGGACTCCATAGGTTGCCAAAAATATCGCTATCGCAATAGAGTAGGAGGGACCAAGATAATTAATAGCCCCGAGTCCCATAAGTTGCAAAACAATACAAATTGTCTGCAACCACATGCCACACAACAAAATACAACCACAAACCCAAAAATAATTCATTCACAAAATACGCAACCAATTTCCACTTGCTGGATCTTATGACGTACACAAAGATTCAGCTAGGTAAAACATCACACGCTAATCTCACTTTGTACCTTGAAAGATTTCTTAAATTTTAATTTATACTCTTAAAGTTTAAACATATCAATTTATACCCTAAAAGTCACAAATTCGTATCAATGTGCATCTGAGNAGTAGGAGGGACCAAGATAATTAATAGCTACGAGTCCCATAAGTTGCAAAACAATACAAATTATCTGCAACCACATGCCACAAGACAAAATACATCCACAAACCCAAAAATAATTCATGCACAAAATAGGCAACCAATTTCCACTTGCTGGATCTTATGACGTACACAAAGATTCAGCTAGGTAAAACATCACACGCTAATCTCAACTTGTACCTTGAAAGATTACTTAAATTTTAATTTATACTCTTAAAGTTTAAACATATCAATTTATACCCTAAAAGTCACAAATTCGTATCAATGTGCATCTGAGATCGGCTGCCATCAATTTTGCCGTCAAAAAAGTTTGAATTAATTATAAANACTTTGTACCTTGAAAGATTTCTTAAATTTTAATTTATACTCTTAAAGTTTAAACATATCAATTTATACCCTAAAAGTCACAAATTCGTATCAATGTGCATCTGAGATCGGCTGCCATCAATTTTGCCGTCAAAAAAGTTTGAATTAATTATAAATTGTACTCTTAAAGTTTAAATATTTGATATTTATGATCCCAAAAGAATTTTTTTAATTAATGTTCATTAAATAGCTCTATATTGTATCGTGTCATATTCGAGTCNAACTTGTACCTTGAAAGATTACTTAAATTTTAATTTATACTCTTAAAGTTTAAACATATCAATTTATACCCTAAAAGTCACAAATTCGTATCAATGTGCATCTGAGATCGGCTGCCATCAATTTTGCCGTCAAAAAAGTTTGAATTAATTATAAATTGTACTCTTAAAGTTTAAATATTTGATATTTATGATCCCAAAAGAATTTTTTTAATTAATGTTCATTAAATAGCTCTATATTGTATCGTGTCATATTCGAGTCAATAAAAAATAATATTAAAATTTACAAAATACCTATTCTTTGCTTATAATACTTATTAAATAGTTATTTTTTGTCTATAGTTAGACACGAATCTTTTGACTGTTCGATCAAATTAAAGTTATATATGAATTACACAACTATAGACAAAAAAAAGCTATTTAATGAGTATTGTAGACAAAAAATTGATATTAATATAACTTTAAAAAATATTAAATAGTATTATATAAATTGTCATAAATGTGAAATATACAACACAACGCAATTGACTCGACAGGAAAATGATATGACATAACACAAGTAACATGATAAGACACAATTCAGAGGTATTTAACAAGTATTAATTGATGCAATTCTTTTTTAAACATAAATCTGAAATATTTAACTTTAAGAGTGCAATTTATAATTATTCCAAACTTTTTTAACGACAAAATGGATGATAGTTAATCCTCAGTGCACATTGATATAAATTTATATCTCCCATGGTGTAAATTAATATTTTTAAACTTTAAGTATATAAATTAAATTCGAGTGATATTTCTGGTTATAAGTTGAAATTAGCCCTAAAATTGTAGTCACCAAAGCCAGAATCAAAAAAAGAGCTTTGCAGACTCTTTCTTGTCTCTCTCTCTCTCTCTCTCCCTGTGATATAAACCATCACCAGCATACAAAGGACCAGTCGTCATTTTCTTTTTGGCTCCACCACTATATCAATGATTATTGAGGGGAAAAGATAATTGAAATGAATTTTATATTATTGGATAAAAAAAATGAAAACTTAATCTATCCTAATTGCTATTATGTTTTTATAAATTAAATTTTTAATTTCATAATTGTAATACTACATAGATAACTCCGTTTTATGCCTAGAAAGAGAATGTGTATACTAGCAAAAAAAGGTAGCAACATAATTTTTTGGGTTAATTATACTGGACATCCCCAAAATATGAGATTTGTCTCATTTTAGTCCTCAATATTTTAATTGCATAATTTTGATCTCTAAAGTATTAAATATGTTTTTATTTGGTCTGTCAACTAGACAACGTCTAAATTGTTAACGATTTTTTATCATAAACTTGTTATGTATTACTTAAATATGGATAAAAAATAATTTTGATACCTCTTAAATAAAATCTCGGTAATTTTTGATAAAAGAATGTGTAATGTGGGTAGTTTTTGACCAAAAATTTGGATAACTCATGATTTAAACTGTGTAATTTGAGTAGCTATTTTGGGAACTTGCAATGCAGTTAACCCTAATTTTTTTGTTGAGTGATATGTTTGGGCATATTTCTGTTTTATTTTTAATCTCACCACAATAGCTTTACCATAGGTTGGTTGCCACCGAATTCATTAGTGGCTCCAGTGATAGCCTCTTGCATCAAGTAGAGCTTATTGTATCGAGCTCTCCAATTTTTAAATAAGTGTGAATATGTTCACATCATCAAATTCAGACCGTGTTGAATTTAGAGTTTGATAACGCGAACGGACGAGATTCGAATGTACAACCTCTTACTCCACTGTCGTGTCAAACCACCAAATATATTAAAAGCTTAAGCTCAAGTTTAGAAGACTTTATTACAATCTTTCTATAATTTTTGGACAAATTTTATTTTGAATCTTAAAAGAATTAAAAAATTTTACATTGCGCCCTTAAAAATTAGATTTGCATTTAAAGTACTGAATGCATCCCTGCCGTTAGTTTCAGTTATTCATTTTGTTAAAGTCAATGAGGTCTTTTTTTTATAGAATAAACAACGGAAGTTAAAAGAAGGGTCATATTGCAATATTTTTAATACATTGAGAGCAATGTGAGAAATTTAATCTTTAAAAGTGAAAATATTTTTTTTTTCATAGTTTTCCAATCTTTCTATATAATGCTATGAATAATTATACTAGAATTGAAAATTTTGACTTAATTTATTGACTACGTTAAGTGATAGAATTCTTAATGAAGAAGTTCAAGAGTTAGTCATAATACTCCTAGATTATGTCGGTGCACATCATTAGTTTAGCAAATTTGGTTAATTTTTTCAGGTAACATTATACTGTGTTGATTTTTGTGTATAAAGTTATTGTTTCTTTCCCAACACTGTTATGGGATTGTTCGAATACTCATAAACTCAGGGACTCTTACATTCATACATCATCAACTAAAGTTTTGCTTGCTGCTAATACTTGTTACAAATTCTAACATTGAGATCTTCTTCTAAAAGTTACATAGCAATCTTACACTAGTTATTCTTTATTATAAATACACTCTTCAATATGGCTCTTATTGAAGCAAACATGAGCTAGGTACCATCAAGGATAGACCTCAATAACAGATCTCAAGCCCAGAATAGGAGTTATTTTATAGTCACTAAAGCCAGCATCAAAGAAGAGTTTTGCCCACTCTTTCTCATTTCTCTCTCTGCCGGTCAACACAATCATCATCAACATGTCAAAAAATAGTTGTGTTTCAATTGACTCGTCGTCTCCTTTTTGATTTTGCACAATCATGTCGATGATTATAACCTTTCCTCCCTTGTCCTTGCTTGGGATCGCCTCTCTACATTTTTTTAGTATCCTCAAGCTCTCTTCATCGCTCCAGTCATGTAAGATCCACTGCTTATCATTCACATAAAAATTATTCAATTTATGAGAATGATGTCTAAGAAAGAAACATAAAGAAAATAACCACACAATTGCCAGCTAAATTATTGCATCTCCACCGGTTTCCTTGTCCTATTCTAATTGATAGTGTAACCTTTATTAGGCTATTTAAATTATTTATTTATCTTTGTCTTTGTAATGATCCTAGGCTTCATTCTTCGACTAATGATGCATCATCATCTTTCCCTTCATTGACTTTTCAATAGACAAATTTAATCATGTTTGAATGGTACATTCTTAATTAAAATTTTTAAGATAGAGTTTGAGAGTGGTAAAGGATGTATTATATTAATCGAAATACTTTTGGTGACATACTAAATAATAGAAGAATAAAGTGTTGAATGCCGACAGCCTTTAGAATGAAGTCTCCTCTCCAATTTTTCAATAGGTATGTCCACATCATCAAATTCAGACTACGTTGAATTTAGGATTCGGTAACATGGAGGGCGAGATTTGAACATACAACCACTTACTCTATTGTCACGTCAAACCGCCAAACATACTAAAATCTCAAGCCCAAGCTTAGAAGACTTTGTTCCAATCTCTGTATGTATTTTAGATGAATTTCACTTTATACCATAAAAATATTTAAAAGATTTATTATTTTGTACCCACAAAGATTAGATTTTTCATATTTGTTTTAAAATCATTGAATATGTCCCTTCTATTAGTTTCAGTTACTCATTCCATCAAAATCAACGGAGTGATTTTTTTATAGAATAAACAACTAATGTTCATAGAAGGGTCACATTGCAATATTTTTAATACATGAAAGGTAGAAGACAAGAAATTTAATCATTGAGAATACAAAATTTTTTTTTTTATGGTTTTCCAATCTTTAATAAATAGGTTGTTCCTAATGCATTATAAAAATGGTGCTCAAAACTGTAAATATATGTGTACAAGGGTTCTTGAGCATGAAGGGGGGGGGGGGGAAAGCATAATTAGTTCTAGGACAGAGGTCTTCACTCTCTCTCAATAGGAATTCACTGCATACCTTTAGTAAAACAACATCTGCAGGAGGAATAGCCTCAAACATGTCTCCTCCAACATAGCTCAAGTTCTCAGTCCCTTCGAGGTCGGCCACAACATGTGGGAGATCAAGCACGATACACTTCAAATGTGGGAATTCGTCTGCAATGGCCTTCGCAACTGTCCCTACTCCACCACCAACGTCCACGAGGGAATTGAACCCCTCAAACACCCCCTTGTAATCTTTAATCACCACGCTAGTGACCAACCGGGAATCACTAGACATGGCGTCATTAAAGAAATGGTTAAGCTTTGGTTTATGGCTTGCATATTCCCAAAACGTCTTCCCTTGAGTCATATGAAACGGCGTGGGATCGTCATTTTGGAACCACTCACTCACATGGTGCCACGGATTTATCAAAATCGGATCTAGCATGGCTACCAAATAGGGTGTCATGCTATAGGGCTCGTCCTTTAGGAGGAGTTGAGAAGGCAGTGTGAGCAAATAACCTCCTTCTTCATCATTTTCCAAGATCTTTTGCCTGACAAAAAAACCAGAGTGAATCAAGATGCGCATCAGGCGATAGATGAACTTGGCTTTTGTTTGGTGGATTGGAAGAGCATCTACCAACTCAGATAGGGTCATGGGACGGCCATGGCTGTGGATGACCTCCAGTATGCCTAGTTGAATTGCACATTTAAGTGACATAGAGTTTATGAAGTTGAATATTTGATTCCATATGTGAGCTTGAGCTTGAAGTAGCTCACGAGATTGCTCTCCATTAGGAAATTCCATTCTTAGCTAGCTTGAGATCTCCAATGATTCGTGTAAAGCCTGAAAACATTGCTCTATTTATAGAAATTGAAAGCACACTAGCACGATAGATATTTTAATGCATTATTTATACAAAATATGCATTTAGATTAATTTTATAGAATAGTAATTATGCATGCTTTTATTTTTTTTGATGAAATTATCTTATTGTTTACAAGCAATAATTTAATAAAATATTGTTAAATGGTACACTAATTTTTCCAACGTATTCATGTCTACTTTGACATTATATGAAACAACATATAATAATTTTTTGGAGAATGTGGATTTTATGACAATTTATTTGGATAGTTTTACTGACAAGATATTTTTTAAATAATTTTTCAAATTTCATTCCTTGACCAACAAATTCGTATTAGCCAATAATAGGTGTTTTAGCTTGTGTTAATGGATCTTTCCAAAAGAAAGCAAAAATGTGACAATAAACTTCACATTTTGAAACTGTACCACAAATGTTTTTTGATAAAAATTGACAATAAGATTCACAATTGGAAATTATACGACTCTTTTTTACTTTGATCAAATAGCTGTCTTTGGACTTGTTATTTCTTTCCAAAAAGAAAGTATAATTAATTGGGAAACTCTACGGTACCGAATAAAATAAAATTCGATACCATACCGTAACTTACTATTTTTATGGTAAAATTATAATTTTAAAATAGAAAAGTTACAACTATTTAAGGGGACCATGATTGATCATGAACTTTCCTTGAGCAGTTGTAACTTCCCCTTTTATGAGTTGTAACTTAACATTTAAAAATTATAACTTAACCTTTGACTCTATCATGGTCGATCATAATCTTTAAAAGTTATAACTTACACCTCAAAGAAATTATAACTTAACCTTAAAAAGTTGCAAATCTTGATACAATATCTCCTTCGGTATGATAGCCTTTCCCTAATTAATTCCACAATGGATAAATGTCACATCTTTGTAAGGGCCTATTGGAATACCCTTTTCATTGACATCTCTTGGTTTGATTATTGAGGGTTGTAAATGGAGACTAATCATGTCATTTTTTGTAGAGATACTATAGGATTCAGTTAGAATATGGTATGATCCAAAGAAATTCAATAATATCTAAATTTGTTTGAATAAATAAAAATGATGATTGATATATGTAAGTTATCTTTTATATTGTGTAAATTTTACCCTATAAATAAGGTTGAGTCCTATTTATATATAGAGCTATGGAGAGAGAGAGAGAGAGAGATTAGAGTTTTAATGGATAAACTAATACGATTTGAACCATTGATTTCAAGTAGGTAAAATTTTCACAAGATAAGAAGTACCATTGAACTAAATGCCCGTTGGTAACCAAATCACTATTCACATGCCTATGGAAACTAAAATTCTCTTTAATCTTTATGCTAGCCAAACTAAGTAAAAAAAAACTTACAATTTTTCTAAGATTCATACAATACTTGATTAAGAAATTAAGAAAAAAATTAGATTTTTTTTCCCTTACAAAACAATTTAATTGGATTAACGGTGTCAAAAACAAACTATTCATTTTGACACTTACATAACCCGTTTATATTCGTTTAAATTGATCGTATTATTTTAGGATATGAATGAAGAACCACTCTCTCCTATTCCACAAATTTTATGTGGACTCCATAGGTTGCCAAAAATATCGCTATCGCAATAGAGTAGGAGGGACCAAGATAATTAATAGCTACGAGTCCCATAAGTTGCAAAACAATACAAATTATCTGCAACCACATGCCACAAGACAAAATACATCCACAAACCCAAAAATAATTCATGCACAAAATAGGCAACCAATTTCCACTTGCTGGATCTTATGACGTACACAAAGATTCAGCTAGGTAAAACATCACACGCTAATCTCAACTTGTACCTTGAAAGATTACTTAAATTTTAATTTATACTCTTAAAGTTTAAACATATCAATTTATACCCTAAAAGTCACAAATTCGTATCAATGTGCATCTGAGATCGGCTGCCATCAATTTTGCCGTCAAAAAAGTTTGAATTAATTATAAATTGTACTCTTAAAGTTTAAATATTTGATATTTATGATCCCAAAAGAATTTTTTTAATTAATGTTCATTAAATAGCTCTATATTGTATCGTGTCATATTCGAGTCAATAAAAAATAATATTAAAATTTACAAAATACCTATTCTTTGCTTATAATACTTATTAAATAGTTATTTTTTGTCTATAGTTAGACACGAATCTTTTGACTGTTCGATCAAATTAAAGTTATATATGAATTACACAACTATAGACAAAAAAAAGCTATTTAATGAGTATTGTAGACAAAAAATTGATATTAATATAACTTTAAAAAATATTAAATAGTATTATATAAATTGTCATAAATGTGAAATATACAACACAACGCAATTGACTCGACAGGAAAATGATATGACATAACACAAGTAACATGATAAGACACAATTCAGAGGTATTTAACAATTATTAATTGATGCAATTCTTTTTTAAACATAAATCTGAAATATTTAACTTTAAGAGTGCAATTTATAATTATTCCAAACTTTTTTAACGACAAAATGGATGATAGTTAATCCTCAGTGCACATTGATATAAATTTATATCTCCCATGGTGTAAATTAATATTTTTAAACTTTAAGTATATAAATTAAATTCGAGTGATATTTCTGGTTATAAGTTGAAATTAGCCCTAAAATTGTAATCACCAAAGCCAGAATCAAAAAAAGAGCTTTGCAGACTCTTTCTTGTCTCTCTCTCTCTCTCTCTCCCTGTCTCTCTACCTGTGATATAAACCATCACCAGCATACAAAGGACCAGTCGTCATTTTCTTTTTGGCTCCACCACTATATCAATGATTATTGAGGGGAAAAGATAATTGAAATGAATTTTATATTATTGGATAAAAAAAATGAAAACTTAATCTATCCTAATTGCTATTATGTTTTTATAAATTAAATTTTTAATTTCATAATTATAATACTAGATAGATAACTCCGTTTTATGCCTAGAAAGAGAATGTGTATCCTAGCAAAAAAAGGTAGCAAACATAATATTTTGGGTTAATTATATTTGACATCCCCAAAATATGAGATTTGTCTCATTTTAGTCTTCAATATTTTAATTGTATAATTTTGATGTCTAAAGTATTAAATATATTTTTATATGGTCTCTCAACTAGACAACATCTAAATTGTTAACGATTTTTTATCATAAATTTGTTATGTAATACTTAAATATGGATAAAAAATAATTTTGATACCTCTTAAATAAAATATCGGTAATTCTTGATAAAAGAATGTGTAATATGGGTACCTTTTGACCAAAAAATTGGATAATTCATGATTTAAACCGTGTAATTTGAGTAACTATTTTGGGAACTTGCAATGCAGTTAACCCTAATTTTTTTGTCGAGTGATATGTTTGGGCATATTTCTGTTTTATTTTTAATCTCACCACAATAGCTTTACCACTGGTTGGTTGCCACCGAATTCATTAGTGGCTCCACTGATATCCTCTTGAATCAAGTAGAGCTTATTGTATTGAGCTCCTCTCCAATTTTTAAATAAGTGTGAATATGTCCACATCATCAAATTCAGACTATGTTGAATTTAGAATTCGATAACGCGAACGGACGAGATTCGAATGTATAACCTCTTACTCAACTGTCATGTCAAACCACCAAATATATTAAAAGCTTAAGCTCAAGTTTAGAAGACTTTATTACAATCTTTCTATAATTTTTGGACAAATTTTATTTTATATCTTAAAAGATTTAAAAAATTTTACATTGCACCCTTAAAAATTAGATTTGCATTAAAAGTACTGAATGCATCCCTGCCGTTAGTTTCAATTATTCACTCCGTCAAAGTCAATGAGGTCATTTTTCATAGAATAAACAATGGAAGTTAAAAGAAGGGTCATATTGCAATACTTTTAATACATTAAGAGTACAATGTGAGAAATTTAATCTTTAAAGGTGTAAAATATTTCTTTTTTATAGTTTTCCAATCTTTCTATATAATGCTGTGAATAATTCTACTAGAATTAAAAATTTTGACTTAATTTATTGACATAATAATATATTAACTGATAGAGTTCTTAATGAAGAAGTTCAAGAGTTAGTCATAATACTCCTAGATTATGTCGGTGCATATNTGAAAATTTTGACTTAATTTATTGACATAATAATATATTAACTGATAGAGTTTTTAATGAAGAAGTTCAAGAGTTAGTCATAATACTCCTAGATTATGTCGGTGCATATCATTAGTTCAACAAATTTGGTTAATTTTTTCGATAACACTATACTGTGTTGATTTTTGTGTATAAAGTTATTGTTTCTTTCCCAACACTGTTATGGGATTGTTCGAATACTCATAAACTCAGGGACTCTAACATTCATACATCATCAACTAGAGTTTTGCTTGCTGCTAATACTTGTTACAAATTCTAACATTGAGATCTTCTTCTAAAAGTTACATAGCAATCTTGCACTAGTTATTCTTTATTATAAATACACTCTTCAATATGGCTCTTATTGAAGCAAACATGATCTAGATACCGTCAAGGATAGACCTCAATAACAGATCTCAACCCTAGAATAGGAGTAATTTTATAGTCACTAAAGCCAACATCAAAGAAGAGTTTTGCCCACTCTTTCTCATTTCTCTCTCTGCCGATCAACAAAATCATCATCAACATGTCAAAAAATAGTTGTGTTTCAATTGACTTGTCGTCTCCTTTTTGATTTTGCACAATCATGTTGATGATTATAACCTTTCCTCCCTTGTCCTTGCTTGGGATCGCCTCTCTACATTTTTTTAGTATCCCCAAGCTCTCTTCATCGCTCCAGTCATGTAAGATTCACTGCTTATCATTCACATAAAAATTATTCAATTCATGAGAATGATGTCTAAGAAAGAAGCATAAAGAAAATAACCACACATTTGCCAGCTAAATTATTGCATCTCCACTGGTATCCTTGTCCTATTCTAATTGATAGTGTAACCTTTATTAGGCTATTTAAATTATTTATTTATTTATTTATCTTTGTCTATGTAAATGATCCTAGGCTTCATTTTTCGACTAATGATGCATCATCATCTTTCCCTTCATTAAACAGACAAATTTAATCATGTTTGAGTGGTACATTCTTAATTAACATTTTTAAGATAGAGTTTGAGAGTGGTAAAGGAAATATTATATTAATCGAAATACTAATTGGTGACATACTAAATAATAGAAGAATAAAGTGTTGAATGCCGACAGCCTTTAGAATGAAGTCTCCTCTCCAATTTTTCAATAGGTATGTCCACATCATCAAATTCAGACTACGTTGAATTTAGGATTCGGTAACATGGAGGGCGAGATTTGAACGTACAACCTCCTACTCTATTGTCACGTCAAACCGCCAAACATACTAAAATCTTAAGCCCAAGCTTAGAAGACTTTGTTCCAATCTCTGTATGTATTTTAGATGAATTTCACTTTATACCATAAATATATTTAAAAGATTTATTATTTTGTACCCACAAAGATTAGATTTTTTATATTTGTATTAAAATCGTTGAATATGACCCTTCTATTAGTTTCAGTTACTCATTCCATCAAAGTCAATGGAGTGATTTTTTTATAGAATAAATAACAAAAGTTCATAGAAGGGTCACATTGCAATGTTTTTAATACATGAAAGGTAGAAGACAAGAAATTTAATCATTGAGAATACAAAATAATTTTTTTTTTATGGTTTTCCAATCTTTAATAAATAGGCTGTTCCTAATGCATTATAAAAATGGTGCTCAACACCGTAAATATGTGTACAAGGGTTCTTGAGCATGAAAGGGGGGGGGGGAATGCATAATTAGTTCTAGGACGGAGGTCTTCATTCTCTCTCAGTAGGAATTCACTACATACCTTTAGTAAAACAGCATCTGCAGGAGGAATAGCCTCAAACATGTCGCCTCCAACATAGCTCAAGCTCTCAGTCCCTTCGAGGTCGGCCACAACATGTGGGAGATCAAGCACGATACACTTCAAATGTGGAATTCGTCTGCAATGGCCTTGGCAATTGTCCTTGTGCCACCGCCAACGTCCACGAGGGAATTGAACGCCTCGAGCACCCCCTTGTAATCTCTAATCACTAGGCTAATGACCAACCGGGAATCACTAGACATGGCGCCGTTAAAGAAATGGTTAAGCTTTGGTTCACGACGTGGGATCATTATTTTGGAACCACTCACTCACATGGTGCCATGGATTTGTCAAATTTGGATCAAGCACGCCTAGCAAAAAGGGCGTCATGCTAAAGGGCTCGTCCTTTAGGAGGAGTTGAGAAGCCAATGTGAGCAAATAACCTCCTTCTTCATTATTTTCTAAGATCTTTTGCCTCACAAAAAAGTCAGAGTGAATCACGATGCACATGAGGCGATAGATGAACTTGGTTTTTGTTTGGTGGATTGGAAGAGCATCTACCAACTCAGATTGGGTCATAGGACGGCCATGGCTGTGGATGACATCTGGTATGCCTAGTTGAATTGCACATTTAAGTGACATAGAGTTTATGAAGTTGAATATTTGATTCCATATGTGAGCTTGAGCTTGAAGTAGCTCACGAGATTGCTCTCCATTAGGAAATTCCATTCTTAGCTAGCTTGAGATCTCCAATGATTCGTGTAAAGCCTGAAAACATTGCTCTATTTATAGAAATTGAAAGCACACTAGCACGATAGATATTTTAATGCATTATTTATACAAAATATGCATTTAGATTAATTTTATAGAATAGTAATTACACATGCTTTTATTTTTTGGATGAAATTATTTTATTGTTTACAAGAAATATTTTAATAAAATATTGTTAAATGGTACACTAATTTTTCCAACGTATTCATGTCTACTTTGACATTATATGAAACAACATATAATAATTTTTTGGAGAATGTGGATTTTATGACAATTTATTTGGATAGTTTTACTGACGAGATATTTTTTAAATAATTTTTCAAATTTCATTCCTTGACCAACAAATTCGTATTAGCCAATAACAGGTGTTTTAGCTTGTGTAGTTAATGGATCTTTCCAAAAGAAAGAAAAAATGTGACAATAAGCTTCACATTTTGAAACTATACCACAATTTGTTTTTGATAAAAATTGACAATAGGATTCACAATTGGAAATTATACCACTCTTTTTTACTTTGATCAAATAGCTATCTTTGGACTTGTTATTTCTTTCCAAAAAAAAAGTATAATTAATTGGGAAACTCTACAGTACTGAATAAAAAAAAATCCGATACCATACCATCACTTACTATTTTTATGGTAAAGTTACAATTTTAAAAGGGAGAAGTTACAACTACTTAAGGGGGGTATGATCGATTACAGATGCACAAGATCGATCATGAACTTCTGTTGAGTAGTTGTAATTTCTCTTTTTATGAGTTGTAACTTAACATTTAAAAGTTGTAACTTAACATTTGACAGATGTAATTTCAGTATCAATTTCAATCTATCTTTATCGATCATGGTCTTTAAAATTTGTAATTTATATCTCAAAAAAATTATCACTTAACCATAAATGGTTATAAATTTGGATACAGTACCTTATTCAGTACCATAGCCTTTTCCTAATTAATTCCACAATGGACAAATGTCACATCCATGTCAGGACCTGTTGGAATACCCTTTTCATTGACATCTCCTGGTTTAATTATTGAGGGTTGTAAACAGAGACTAATCATGTCATTTCTTGTAGAGATATCGTAGAATCCAGTTAGAAATATGGTATGATCCAAAGAAATTCATTAATATTTAAATTTGTCTTAATAAATAAAAATGATGATTGATATATGTGATTTATCTTTTATATTGTGTAAATTTTATCCTATAAATAAGGTTGAGTCCTATGTAGTTAATCATCTTGAATCATATATGAAATGTAGCCTATAGAACATTAGGTCCGTGGACGTAAGTATAATTTGTCGAAATATATCTTTTTTGTTATATTTTCCCTTTTTTTTCCTATCTCAATATCTCTCAAATTGTGAATTTCTGCATGATATTAGAGCAGGTCGATCAGATTATCTCATCCAAGGAATACATTACTTGTCGTATGAGATGAGTCTAGCTATTGACTGTCACCTACTTTTGGAGTTTTTCATCAAGCAAAGATTCCAGGGAATAAGAAGTCACATGAAGAAAGACATTGATAGACATTGACCTCGATCTGCTATTCAGAGGGAGTTTTATCACCAAAGCTACACTATCCAATTGACAATCAAACATTCTATTTTCAATTCAAATTAGTACACTTGATTTCAGTGTACTAAGTTGAGGGGAGTATTAGAGATATGATCGGAATAGAAAGAATCCATCATTATCTAACTAGAGATCCAAAGAAATTTATCGATATCTAAATTTGTTTGAATAAATATAGATGATGTGAGATATATTTTATTTGTATATCCTACAAATAAGGTTGAGTCTCATGTAATTAATCATGTTCAATAATACATTATATGTAGTTGAGTGTTAGGTCTGTGGATGTAGACACAATTTGTCAAAACACATATATCTTTTTTGTTCTATTTTCTCTTCCTTTTCCTCTCTCAATATCCCTCATTGTGAATTTCTTCATATGATATGATTAGAATCAAGAGACCATTGATATCTAAGTTCTTTATATAAATGCTAGAAATAACTTGTGCTTAAAGACACTAAATAACGCAAAAAATCTCGAGCACTGGTCATGCAATATAAATATTTTCAAACAGTACTTTATTATTTATTATTTTATTTAGTTACACAATTCAAAATCAATTTAAAAATACTATTTTCTTAAAAATTTTGACAAAACTTCTATAAAAACACTATTCCTAAAAAATATTAAGATATATACAATTTATATATAAAATCATTATACCTAAAAAATATGTTTTTCTTTTTTTTGGGTAGAAGTCGATATTGACGTGTGTGTTGACGAATGTATAGAGAGAGAGAGAGTAATATGAGAGATGGGATAAACTTATGAGAGATGAGAGTNTGAATAAATAAAAATGATGATTGATATATGTGATTTATCTTTTATATTGTGTAAATTTTATCCTATAAATGAGGTTGAGTCCTATGTAGTTAATCATCTTGAATCATATATGAAATGTAGCCTATAGAACATTAGGTCCGTGGACGTAAGTATAATTTGTCGAAATATATCTTTTTTGTTATATTTTCCCTTTTTTTTCCTATCTCAATATCTCTCAAATTGTGAATTTCTACATGATATTAGAGCAGGTCGATCAGATTATCTCATCCAAGGAATACATTACTTGTCGTATGAGATGAGTCTAGCTATTGACTGTCACCTACTTTTGGAGTTTTTCATCAAGCAAAGATTCCAGGGAATAAGAAGTCACATGAAGAAAGACATTGATAGACATTGACCTCGATCTGCTATTCAGAGGGAGTTTTATCACCAAAGCTACACTATCCAATTGACAATCAAACATTCTATTTTCAATTCAAATTAGTACACTTGATTTCAGTGTACTAAGTTGAGGGGAGTATTAGAGATATGATCGGAATAAAAAGAATCCATCATTATCTAACTAGAGATCCAAAGAAATTTATCGATATCTAAATTTGTTTGAATAAATATAGATGATGTGAGATATATTTTATTTGTATATCCTACAAATAAGGTTGAGTCTCATGTAATTAATCATGTTCAATAGTACATTATATGTAGTTGAGTGTTAGGTCTGTGGATGTAGACACAATTTGTCAAAACACATATATCTTTTTTGTTCTATTTTCTCTTCCTTTTCCTCTCTCAATATCCCTCATTGTGAATTTCTTCATATGATATGATTAGAATCAAGAGACCATTGATATCTAAGTTCTTTATATAAATGCTAGAAATAACTTGTGCTTAAAGACACTAAATAACGCAAAAAATCTCGAGCACTGGTCATGCAATATAAATATTTTCAAACAGTACTTTATTATTTATTATTTTATTTAGTTACACAATTCAAAATCAATTTAAAAATACTATNTCGATATCTAAGTTCTTTATATAAATGCTAGAAATAACTTGTGCCTAAAGACACTAAATAACGCAAAAAATCTCGAGCACCGGTCATGCAATATAAATATTTTCAAACAGTACTTTATTATTTATTATTTTATTTAGTTACACAATTCAAAATCAATTTAAAAATACTATTTTCTTAAAAATTTTGACAAAACTTCTATAAAAACACTATTCCTAAAAAATATTAAGATATATACAATTTATATATAAAATCATTATACCTAAAAAATATGTTTTTCTTTTTTTTGGGTAGGAGTCGATATTGACGTGTGTGTTGGCGAATGTATAGAGAGAGAGAGAGTTATATGAGAGATGGGATAAACTTATGAGAGATGAGAGTGTGTGTATATATAGAGAGAGAGAGATAGAGAGATTAGAGTTTTAATGGGTATTTGACGTATTTTGTTATTATTAGATATATATAGCCATCTAAGCCNGAAGTCGATATTGACGTGTGTGTTGACGAATGTATAGAGAGAGAGAGAGTAATATGAGAGATGGGATAAACTTATGAGAGATGAGAGTGTGTGTATATATAGAGAGAGAGAGATAGAGAGATTAGAGCTTTAATGGGTATTTGACGTATTTTGTTATTATTAGATATATATAGCCATCTAAGCCAAACTCTCCAACTTTTATTATTTTATTATTATTTGCATTTAGGATATAGAGAGAGTGTGTGTGAGAGTATGAGGTAAATAGAGATATAGAGTTATATGATAGATGAGAGTATGTATGTTTAAAATGTTTGAGATATAGGAGAGAGATGTAAAAGTAATAAAAATTCAATTAGGATCATATAGATATAAATAGATAAATATATATATGATGACATACATGGGCAGAGCTACACAAGGGTGAGGGTGGGTATAGGCCCACCCACATTTTTTTTTTTAAAAAATATGATATACATATGTATATTTATATATTCTAAAAATTATATACATATTTTTNAAATAGATAAATATATATATGATGACATACATGGGCAGAGCTACACAAGGGTGAGGGTGGGTATAGGCCCACCCACATTTTTAAAAAAGAAAATATGATATACATATGTATATTTATATATTCTAAAAATTATATACATATTTTTTACATGTACTCATCCTATAATTTTTTTATTTCAATTATTTAATCTTTTTTATGAGGGCTACAATGGCTTATTGTTTACCTTTGAGGGCTTTACCTCCTGGTTATAGTTATCCTTGGGTTTGCTTGATCTAAGGTGAGATCCTCGCCCCTCTCTTGTAACGGTCGCCCTTATTACGCCACGAGACTTGCGCATGCTGAGTAACTGTTGCTACAAAAAGGGGTATTCTGTGGGATCCAACTGTCCATTGCACTGCCTTCCTCGAGATGTGGACATTGGGAGTTGAGGTCTGAGGTCAAGGCCTGTAAATGATATAGATGAGCTGAGCTTCCAACCTGAGTAGCATGACCTGGGTTACTGAGCTCAATCCTTAGGTGTTTTGTGGTATCATCAGTTTCCCCCCAGTCCCTGGCCAAACATGTTGATTTGAGTGGGGATTATGCCATGGCTGAGA